AAAACAATCAATTATGTACATAAGTCAAGCAGGACTTTCGGCACGGGATGACTGGTCGTTTGCTTCCAGATAGGAAAGACTTTTGACATACCTGTATGATCTTCTTCGCACTTCCAGTAATTAGATAACAATAGAGGAGGTTGAGCGACTCTGTCTTCATCTTTTATTTCATACCGCAAGACCTAAAGCGCAAATATCATAGCTATAAATTCTAGCGTTAAACATGTCCTTGGACAAACGAAAAGCAAATAACAAGAAAATCAAGATTCGCTAATTGAAACAGTTTTCGTTCAACACCTACCCTCCCCCCCCAAAAAAAAACAAAAGTTTACAAAAACTTCACCCCGACACTACTTGAGAACCGAGGGAGCGCCCTTGTTCATTACACCTTCTGGCTATGAATCAAGCTTCAGTTCTGGATACATTAGCCTCGTAAAGATTCTTAGGACGTGGAACATGGTTTTGCTCATACATTATTGCGGAGAAGAAGTGGACTTAAGTTTCAAAGCTAATTAACCACTAAACGATCGCAGTTAGAAGTGAAGTAAAGAGAAAGGAATTAAACACTGACCGTAAAATTAAAAAAAAAATAAGAAAGCTTCCCAACCTCTGCATTGAAAAACGCTGCCGTTGGCTTTTCTCTCTGCTGAGAAAGTAACCAATTTGCAAGTCCGAGACGATCAAACTGATAATGATAGCTGGGCCCGTGTTGCGATGCAACGGAATCTGGCAGAAGGAGCTGAAAAATCTCAATTCGTTTCAAGTAGAAGAAAAAACTGGGAAATCAAAAAAAGAAGGAAACACTCACTTGTTTATTTGGAACTATGGATTTGATTACTATGGCATCAACGAGATTGAAACTGAAGCGGTTCGATGTCAGAGTGCACATCGGTCAAAAGCGGCAGTGATGTGGCAGCAAATGAGATCAACACCGTTCCAAACGTTCTAGTTATACGACTGGAAAAAAAATTGATTACATTCGAGGGTGCACTTCACGATGAAATTGTAACGGCTTTCTCGAAGGCAAACGAAAACAGAGATGGGAAGTAGACTGATAGTGAAGAAAGAAGTAGAAAACCACAGAGAACACAAGACCTACCTCTCTAGGCTACAAAGAGGCAGACAGTGAGATAAAAGAGACTGGGCGCCGTAGAGAAGAAGCGAATCGGAGTCGAGAGAGCATTGATACTAATGAGAGTAAACACGGCCTATGATGTCAAATATAAGGCTAATTTCGTAAGGTTCATGGGGCCTTAGCGCCTCCGCCGGTGAGTTAGAGCTTCGTTAAAGCACAATTGGTATGCCCATAAGTCACCATTACTCAGTGTGCTATGCACTAATTATTACAAGCTCATAACGGAAATTTGAAACAAAAAAAATAGCCTTCACCAGTTGACTACGAAAGTTCTCAGCACCTCAAATCATATCTTCGGATTAGCGATAGATAAAGAATAAAAATAAGTGCGTAGAAAAAAAAACGTGGGATCACAGTAATGTTAACGAACATCTGACAGCTTTGAAACCTCACATCCCTTGGTGCGCGAATGCGCAGAGATCATCAGACAAGGCACCTGTATCTTTTTAATGTATCACCTTAATTACTAGGAGTATTTCATTATAAAAGCCAGATCTGAAAAAGAGGAAGAAGCTGTGCAAATTCAATTCAGCAATATCAACTTCGTCAAAGACAGGTAAGTAGGACCAACCGTAAACCTTCACTTAACATGTAGAAGCAGTACAGAACTGCAGATGAGGAGGGAACCGAAAGCATAACTAAAACCAAAGCTGCACTACGAAAAGAATCGAGAAGCAGAACTTACTCCTCAACGTTAGCGTTCTTGAACCACACATGTGAGTACTCGTTGATAGCCATAGCAACAGGAACCCGATGCTCGCTTATGGTTGCCTAAAACGTCTTTGGTCTGCAGGATGGACAAACGCTCAAGACCCCAGAAGAGGTGAAAACCAAGCAGTTTCTTTAAGGAGTTTAGCGACTTCACTGAGAGTTGCTTTGACACACCTGCATGAGATTCGCCGTTGACTGAGAAAGATTGAACGACGACTCGCCCAAGGAATGATTACCATCACCATTGTTGATCGCGAAGGATGATCCCCATTCGGTTGAACCGACCGAGTCCTGGGAGCGGAATAATGCTTAATGACCATTACAAAAAAATTCAAGAAAATAAAATTCCCGCTACCTTCCTCATTGTGGCGACACCAAGTGTGGAGTTGTAAGTGGGAGTGTTGCTTCGAGGTCGTGCTCTCGCCATACCAGCTATAGGACCCATCGAAGCGGAGAAGTTCAATGGCATATTGCTTTTTCCAAAATCTGATTCTGCAACACACTCACTGCAATACTTTCTCATCGTGGTAATAGAAGAAAAAAATGATCAAGCCGATAAAATGCGAAACTCATAGTTCTGGCAATAAACAGAGGAGATATATAGAAAATTAATAAAAGTTACCGTTGAAATTCGATCGAAATCGACCATCGGCAGTATGACAGGGTCGCAACGGCTTCAAACTGCCACCGGATAATGACTTGTGAGAATAGCGGGGGACGACTTGTTCCAACAGACCAAGGATCCTGAAATGAATAGAACTTACGAAGTACGAAACTACGAAAATAGTTGTGGAATTATCAAAAGAGGAAAAACCCCAGATTGTATACTTCTCTGAAGTATGGTGTAATAGAAAAGACACTAAAGGACTTCTCTCGAAGGGAAAGTTCACCATGTCGAGAAGTACTTTTTGCAAGACTGTAGTAGGTGAAAGATCAAAAGGTGGGATTTTTATTTCCACTAGCCACCTTCATAACGAAAAAAGTGCTCTCGGAAGCGTCAACCTTCTGGGTGAAGCAGTAGTATCCTATCGCGCTCATGCCATCTCATTCGATGGACTTAGAACATTCAATAAGCGGATACGATCGCAGAGATCTGCTACTAACAATATGCGTGACCTTTTTTACTCAAAATAATGCTCTCGTAAGATAGCAGTGAGTTGCTACAAAAAATAGTCACCCGTAGACTATCAGACAGCTAGCACAAAATACTAGTGCTTATACACTGTCCACATGTTGGCTTTTGGAAAAAACGTATAAAATAAAGAAATATGGGCAGCGGAAATCGTTTGTTTTCCGCAAAAACCACTCTGTCAACTCGTTCAATCGCACCATGATATTTCTAGCAATAATTATAGCGATTTTTTTTTGCGAGATTAAATTGGTAGCGGAAGTGCTGTCCAATGATAGAACTCAAATCACAAATGTTTTATAAAGGCACGGGTCGCGACCAAAGACCCAAAATTGGGTGTTCGTTGATTTTAGCTTATAAAGGCACGGGTCGCGACCAAATTGATGTGTTACTTTAGTTGAAATTTAAACAAGAAACGTGAATAGAAAGTTAGCAAGAAAAAAATGCAAAAATCGTTATGGAAAACATTTGAATTTTTCTTATGGGGTCAACCGTGATACGATTCAGAGGCACAGCACTGCGAGGAGAGGGAAAACACGAAAGAGGCGTCGTATGCGAGAACGCTTCGACGTCACGTGTACCGCGATTGATAAAGGTGACAATAGGTCACAGCGGCAACGAAGGCACTAGTTCTCTTGTAGCGCATTCTAGTCGCGACAGCACCACAACTCTTGTGATTGTGCTACCTCACTCAACGAGATGATTCTTCTAAGAATCTAATCGCAACCCGTGCCTCTAAACACTTGTCTTTCCGTTTCTTATCTTATTTTTCAACCTATGAAATAAAGAGTTTCAAAGTCACCTTATCAAACGTGTTACTTCTACATATACTGATGTGACCGATGGCGTCGCGCAACTCGTCCACTGATGCATTCATAGTCTTTGCCGAATCGGCCGGTCGTATCGTCAAGTTCCGAATTTTCGACTGCTGTAGAGCGTCCTCGTCCTGGAAACGGTTATCAAACATAAATGAACAAATAAATGTAAGACTAGCTGCTCTTCAAGTTTTTACTGCTTTTTCGAGTCAATCAATCGTGCCATCCCTAGTCAATTTTTCACTGATTTTTTATCAATGTGGTTGACCTTTAATAAAATAAACAGAATGAATAAACCAAAATTTGAGATAATCACCTCATCGCTGCTACTGCAGGACGACCAATTCGTGTCTTCTTTATCGCCTTCGTGTTCCCTTATCGTGTAGCCTTCATCGTCAACTGGAGGAGGTGGGGCAGGGGCTAACGGTAGATCGAGGAGACTCGTCGAGCCATTCACGCGCTGAAGAATTGGAAATATGAGTAAAAAATAAAGATATGATAAACAGTATGGCAAAATGATAATGAAAGAAAATCAATACATAATAAAAATAAAATGTATAAAAATAAATAAACCTAATGCAATGGAGAGAAATACGAAAAATATCATTTCGCTGGCAACAAAAATAAAGCAAACATACCTAAAAATGAAAAAATAACAGACCTTATCATCGCTACGTGTACTGCTGGCCGTACTGTGAACCAGCACAATCAAATTACCTACATAATGGGAACAAAAAAACCAATAAGAATTCCTGCATTTTCGATGTATTTATTTGCGCCACCTAATCACTCTAAAGGAAAAACGAGAGATGTGTCGACAGGCGACCAACGAAGATCAGGTTCGGGGTACACGGCGCACCAGGCGATAACGTCATATTGCGCTATGTATACGTCATTGATATGTCTGAACTGAACGCGAAGCATTAACCGAAGGGAAAATAACTGGAGCAGTTTGTTCTGCTTTCAAGGTTCTCAATCTCTCAGAATCGCCTCAAGTAATCGATTCCATTTCAAATAGGAAGCCAATTCGGGGACTAGCAGAAGAGATGTATGGCCGCTGCAGAGCGAGAACAATGAAAAAAGTTGCAAGAAGGCATGGAAAATTGGACCAATGACACAGCAGTCGCCCGATATTTGAAAGAAGGGGGTGGTGTGGCTTCCGGCAGCCAAATCTGAGCAGCGATTGCAGCCCAGGGCACAAGCTTTACATTCCTTCGAGTGTATTACCAGAATCGTTTGACGTAAGTGGAAACATCCGGTTCTTGTACATCGCGTCAGCCCCGTTGATGACTAGATGACTTTATTCTAAATAGCAAAAGAGAATGTGACCCGTATCACAAGACTGGAGCCAGCAACGCCGCACACCTCACGCTTCATGCTCCAGACCTTCTATAGAACAGCCTAAGAAGATGAGAGGAGAAGGAAACGAGTGAGAACGAGTGAATGGGGCTAGATCGAGGAAATGGATGGATGGAAGAGCAATTCTGCTTGTCTGTGTGATGGAAGGAAATTTACAGGAAAAAAGCCAGCAAGCTAATTTGGCATGCAGAGATAAAGGACTTGCGGAGAATAAAATGAACAAAGAGGATCGATTCAAAGGCAGTTTTGCATTCCCAATTTTTATTTGGATATTCCCTTTGGAAATAAAGAAAAACAATGGGAAGCTGGAATAACTAAACGAATCAAGACCAAAAACATGCTAACACTACCAGAAAGGCTGCAAAATATGTTCAGCTTCAGCGAGAAAAAAATATCAAGGAGGAGCTGATGGCAAAAACAACCCTGATTCAATTTACAATTCCCTGCTAATATTTCAACAGCTACTTCAGTTCACAAAACCCGAGCAACTTTCAATTATCCTATGCATAGTTAGCAGTTAAGCTCGTTTTTCCAACCAAGCTGTGGGCAAATTAACGATAGAAACTTGAAATTAATTGAGGACAAGGTCGAAAAACCTCAAAAATCCCTTGTTGCTAATGTTCAGTAATTAGGAAAGTAGATATTGAGTTAGGTTCTTTCACAAAGCATAAACATTACGAAGGCATTATTGGACTTTTTTGAAATTAAATCTAATAATTTTAGAGCTTGCATTAGATTGCATCATTGCATTTTAGAGCTCTACGACAACCACATACATGGGAAGTATTTCAAACTGGACGTCGACACAAGGGTTTCAAAGAAAATGTCTGATCGAGGCGGTTTCGTTAGAATGATGGATCGTTTTCCATTGAAGCTCATGGGTATTCGTTAGCCGAATATCCTTAAAAACCCCCTCTGACAAAGGCAACAAACCCTTCCTCAAACAATTTCACTCAATCGAATTTATACAGCGTGAAATCTCGCGCCTTCGTCACTTTCTTATATTTCTTGTTTATCATCACTTTCTAATGGACTTGTCTATTTGCAGGTACGATCTCAATCGAGTGCTGCAAATCAGTTTCGTAAATGAATTTTCGGGTTCTCACCGCTCAGGCAGATGGTCGAAACAAAGTTACACTAGAACTACTCTCGTTATTTCCACTCGCCACTTCTAAATAATTAGATAGACCGATCTCCTCTTGAGAACAAACCTACAGAGACTACGTTCCATAGCCATGCCTGCTATGTCGAATTCTGAAGTTCTATGAACAACACGTACTTTAGACTTATCAATAGGAGTGAAACTGTCAATAGCGACAAAACAACACAACCTCAGAAAGCGTCAAAAATTCCGTAAGAGATCACCGGTAAGAACGTAAGGAAGAGAATTTTTACCATACTGAGAAGAATTTGCTTCTCTGTGGAACTATTAACGTTCGTTAGACAACACAGGGTCGAAAAGATCTACGCGAGAAAGCGTCTTATGCAATAACTTCAATTTCTTAGCCGTAATATATCGTTTCGATGACAACATTTCTCTCGATTGCCGGTAACCTAATTTGCTTCACGCCAACACGAGATCAACTATCAGCAAGTTCAAGTTCTGTCTCAGAAAAAAAAGCTTTTGCCGAAACATGATTAACAAGGAAGTAGCGAACTCATTGGGGTACTCTATCATTATCATTTATCAGAAAAATACATCAATTCGAGTCCTCACCAATTCCGCGCCTTTTACTTAATCTTACTATATTAGACAACGCCAAGATGTAAAAAAACCTTCACGTTCTAAACTTCACCTATGCGGTTTGCTGGCTGCCCTAACCACGAATATTACACATATTGCTTGACGCCAATGCCCTTTCAGGCAAAGAGACACAACATTGGTATCTTCGTCAATGTCAATATGTCATACTCGAGATCATCATGACAATTTTAAGAACAAAAAGTTTTCTAACTATTACAGGTTCCTTACGGGAGGGTCTGGGACCATAATCCTTCCTTAATGAGGTGCTTTCACGTTTCTGAATTCTACTGAGGAGACACTTATATTTTAATGGGGCGGTAACCAGTCGAGGTTCATGCCAAAGCTGCCGTGTTTGGTGCTTCCTGTCATCTGATTGTTAGATGGAAAGTTCACCCATTGTTTCAACCTTTCCAACGTGGTACAAGGCCTAAACATGGCTCAAAGCTTCGAAAACTCTTATCATCCCATCAAGCAAAATTTTCCTCCAGCGTTCCTGACACCGCTTTGGAAACACTCGGGAAACACCCGGAACTGGAAAGATGAGCCTAGGCTCGGATCGAGTCACATCATTGGTTAGTGGCGCAACTACATGCATGGTCAGTCGGTCGATATCCAATTGTAATCTCAATCAACTAAGCAAATTTTTTATCAACTCCTTGTCAAGGATCAGTACACATCAAGTACTATTCAAATAGACCCTCATATAAATAGAAATATTATTATATAAGTGGATCAAATAGATCATTATGCAAATAGAAATCAATTACTATTATTTTTGTTCACAACCCAACATTCTTGTAAATACTATTATTAATCAAGTCAGATCTCCGTCTGTGGAGCTTTCCCATTTCAAACGACCAACCGATTAGGTCCGTAGAGATTTTTTGATACAGCAGAGCCCGAGCAGATACATATTGATTTAAGCACATGAAGAAAAATTTGAAATTCAAGGAGTAACCTCTCCAAAACGAAAGTAATCTCGTGGGACGCAGAGTGCATAAAATTACTCGAGCGCATAAAATTGCTTACAGAAGCGCCGAGACGACGCGTGCAAAAAAAGAGCTGAGGTGGCACTGATAAAGAAACACATTGCAACTACTCCACCTTAAAAACCATCCAGTAGTGGATTCTACGCCAGTTAATCCATGGAACACTTGTTCAGCAGAGAATCTTATCGTTAGTATGAAAAAAACACTTGTTTGAGCATAACAAGTCTTATAACATTTCATGGTAAGCACTAAATGTGGTGAAACCACACTCTCCTCATGTAATAAAATTTACTTGGAGTAAAAAGATTACGTTCGAG